TTGATAAGAAGAGTTTAAGTATGGGTACATCAATGATCAGTTTATAAATAAAGGAAGTTAGAATGTTAAGCTTGAATAATGAAAGTGACATGGTGTATGAGATTGAATGTTTATTTGATTAGTTGAGTAAACTATTGTTGAAATAATTCTGACTGCAAAGAATGTGTATGAATGGTTCGATGAAGGTTTATGTTTTAGATTGGAAGAATCGATGTTGACTAACAGAGTTATAAGATAGTAGTGTATTAAAGTTAAAGGATTTGAAGATGATTTCAGGGTAAGCTAATTATGTATGGTGTGGATTGAGATATGGTTATGTATTTTAATCATTGAAATGAAAGGTAATAAAGGAGACAAGGTATAATACTGTATATGAATGAGAGTATGGGTTCAATAAGTGAATTACACTGGGATGATTTTAACTGAAATGATGTGTATGATTAATTTGATCAGGGCTTACGCCCTAGATTGAAAAGTTGTTATTAATTAGCTATAGTGGCATGGATGTTAGAATTATCAGATTTGAAGGAAACATAAAGTAAGTTAATCAAATGAGATACGAATCTGGATGTGGTTGTGTATTTTGATCATATAGATATGATATAGGCAAGGAGATAAATATTTATGTGTTTTAAAGAAAATTTTGATGGAAGAAAATACAAGCAAGATACGATAAGAATGGGGTTCTGTATAAGTGAAGTAATTAGTAAAGTTATAAAGATATAATAAAGATTGGTAATCAGAGATGAGTTTAAGTGATAGGAAAATAGTATGTGAACATGAAAGAAAGATATGATTGGTGTATAAGAAGATTTTGAGTTATGAAGAAAATAAAAGGATGAAGTTTAAAGAATTAGATGTGATAAAGATTATGTTGAGATATAGGTTATAAGTTTAACCAGAAGTAAGAAAGGTATGTCAGGTAATATGAGAAATTGTTTAGTTATGCAAAGTGTATGTTTAATCAGTTATGATGAAGATTTAAGGTTATGTTTCTTGGTCAAGTGAATGTAGTCAGAAAAATGAATAAAGATTTATATGTATTAAGGAAGTTTTGGAGTCAGTCAAGTAAGGATGAAATAAAAGTTTGGTGATTCTTGAAAGACAATTGAAGATTGACAAGGAATTTGATTGATTTATGAGTTTGAGTAATAAGAATTAATGTTATTGTCTATCTGATAAGTGACATGATAGGAGATATAAAGTAAAAAGGTAGTCGAATAATTGGAAAGATAAGAACCAAGTTATTAAAGATGATACAAAAGATTAACTTCAGAAAGCAGCTTGAGAACGTTAGAAGATATGTCCTTCTCAGGATGTGCAGTGAAAATTCGAGGACGAATTTTTTTAAAAGGAGGGGAGATTTGTAACATCCCAAATTATGGGTTAGTGATCAATTTGTAAAGTTTCAGAATTTGATGACTAAAGTAGAAGAATGAAATAGTTCAATGATTATTGGATATATATGATGAAGGTTATTTAGTAATTATTAAAGGAAATAAAGGGTAAAATGGTCATTTGATCATTTAAGGAATAAAAAAATGGAATTATATACACGTGGAAAGGGAGAGAATTCTCCAGAGTTCTCTTCTCTTTTCTTCTTCTTCTTCACGTGGAAGCCAAGAGCCAAAGGTAAGTTTCTTTATTTATAAATGAATTGTTGATTTTAAGGTTGGGTTTTGATTATTAGATGATAACTAAGCTTCAGGAAAGTTTAAATCATCTTAAAAACAAAGGATGGTGGAATTAGGAGAGATTAAAGATTTTGAGTTTTTGAATGAAATCTTGAAATAAAGTTGATAAGTTGAATTTTAAGTTGAATTTGACTTGTCAATAGTTAAATTAAGAGATTTGGAGTAATAGAATTGGATTTGAAACATATTGCAAAATGGATGTAATTATTGAATTACATATGGAAGATAGGATTTTGAGGTTTAAGATGAATTAAATGAATATAGATTGGTTTAAGTATGTGTACTAGAGTTAATAATGAAAAAGGGGATGATATATGGAGTGTTTAAGAGGAAATGAAGTAATTTTCGTGCTGAAAAATGATTTCTGGGTTAGGGGGAATCGGTACCCATTCAAAGGGATACCGATACCCTCTCAAACGACAGAATTCCAGAATGTCAAGGGGGAACCGATACTCCCACAGGAGGGAACCGATTCCCCCCTAAAGGAAAATTGTAATATTGGTTTAATAAGTTCGTTTAAGTTGCTAGTATCAAATTACAAGGTGTAGGTATCTAATAATTGTCTTAAAATGTATAATTATGTAGATTCAGAGCCTAAACGAGTTCCGGAATCATTGACAAGTAATATCGATAAAAAGGGAAGATAAGAGATTGGAATGGACTAGTGAGGCCAGGTGAGTGCAATTTCATTATACTTATGTTATCGAATAAGCATTTGCTTGCAATGAGCCAGTGACGGAGTTACTATGGTAATAAGTAACTCTTAAAATGTTATTTGATTGGTGAATTTTATGTATGCATAAGTATATGTGACATAAATTATATGATTCATATGATATGTGATACTGAACTACATGAATATATGAGAATATTATATCAGTTATGTGATATGTTTGACATGTTCTTTTATGTGATACGTGTTTACATGATCACAAGACATGAGTTATATGAAAAGAAAGTATATGTGATATGTGAAAGTGAATCCTATGTTTATATGAATATGAACTCATATGAGAATGGATATGAACTACGTGATTACATGTATATGTGAAGGAAACCATGAGCTTATATGAATATATGATACGGTTACATGAATATGAAAAAGGATATAAAAGATAATACCCATGTTATGTGTCATGAGAGCTAGGGGTATAGTTGGCATGCCAAGAGTCGAGGGTCTATGTGGTCCTTCGGGACATTGTGGTCCTTCGGGACATATATGTATTCTTTGGAACATGTGTGAAGTCTGGTGAGGCACATACTTGATCCCTAGCATATGTATATGATTCTTAAGGAATGATATGCGGTCTTTCGGGACATTGTGGTCCTTCGGGACATATATGTATTCTTTGGAACATGTGTGAAGTCTGGTGAGACACATACTTGATCCCTAGCATATGTATATGATTCTTAAGGAATGATATGTGGTCCTTATGGACATTATTATATGGCACTACGGTGCAATTCTACGCGGCACTTCGGTGCAATTATATGTGGCACTTCGGTGCAATTATATGAGTTGTGGTGACAGCGTTAGTGCACAACCTCTATGTACACGCATATCTTTAGTTCTCACATGATTATCATGGGCTATTAAATAGATAATATTAATAAAATGATATGATGATATGTTTGTTTCCTTGTGGAATTTCATGGGTGATATTGATTGTACAAATGGTAACTTATAAAACCATATGATGAAAGAAATCAATGATAGTGATAAAATAAGAAAGAAATGAAGATGATAATATAATTGCTTGGGTGTACGTGTTTTATGATAGTATATATATATAGTTTACATGACATGATATGTATATGTGCAATTGGTTATGGTATATGTTATATGATATGGACATAAGAGATCATAGGAACATGAGATAAGAGATATGAATGATAATGACATATATGTATGCATATATTTGTTACATGTAAAAGTATGAGTGGTATGAAATGATAGTAGTAATTGTTTAGGTATGATTATTAGTTACCGTTTACCTTATATGTTTATATGCCTCACTAAATCTTTGACTTAGTGTGTAAGTGATTTACACGTAGGTTTCGAGAAGAGTAAAGAGCAATGTGGAGCAAGACAAGTCAGTTCTTCTTACTAAAGGTCAGATCAGAAAAGATGTGAATAATATGTATTTTAGTATATAAAGTTCTAGTTGGCATGTTTTCAAAAGAATCTATTGTTTAAGCTATGAACCGTTTTATAAATGTTTCGAATAGTTATATGTAAATAATAAGTGAAAGATACATGCTCTGATTGGTTTTGTAATAATGAAAATGTCTTTTATGTAAATTAGTCATTTATATGTTATAAAAGTTTTAAATTACTCACTATTTTATACAAGTACATGTTTTTAAAGGTCAATGTGACACCTCGGATTCGTATCCGGGTCGGATACGGGTTGGGGTGTTACACTAAATGTATGTTAACGAATACAAGACTCGATATTCAAAACCATTCTTCTTCTAAAAAAAGGCACCAAGTCTAATGATGCCAATATGGAGAACAATAATGAAACTATTAGAGAGAATAATTATGGTTGCAATAGAGCAGACCCGCTCCGATTATGTCCCAAAAGTATTAAGTAGGGAAAGTGTGTTTAAATGTCAAACTTTTCGCACCCTTGCTAAATTGTACGCACCATAAAATGCAACAGAAGAAAGACAACTAACCATACAAAAGACATGAAAACTTTAATAGGTTATAATACACAACCGACAAATCAGTCATATTTAATGGCCTTACAACATTTTAATTGATTAACTCCACATTGAAAACAATAAGTCAATAACTAACAAAGACTTTTTCACCATCGTGTCCAAAATATTCATGAATCTTAAATCTCATATACGTCTAAAACAAAGGGGATAAATGTTAACAATCTTATGAAAAGAGATAATACACTTCGCGCAGTTTTCCTACAATAAAGAAGATGAAATACTGCAAAAGCAATTGTCTTGTCAACAAATTAGGGTGTCTACAGTTTCCTAATCTGCAGAAATACGTTACGATTGCTTCTTTTAAGCTTCAAGACCACGCCAACTGGTAGAAATATGCCACAATTGAAAATCTTATCCAGCCTTGAAGCTAACCCAGCAAGCTGAGGTCCAGTAATAACCTCTCTTTCTCTAAAAAGAGGGAAAATATTGCTTTAAATGACACCTTATAATGACATATTTTACAAGTAATAGCTTCTTCTATTTTCTCCTTTAATTTGTACTTCCCACTTCTTTTATGGCTTTTATCAGATATAATGCCTTCCCTCTCATCTTGAGGTTTTAGATCTTGCACTGGGATTACAAATTTATATATAAACCTAGTATAAATAGGCTGTAAAATATTTACAGCCGCATTATTCTAGTTACTTTTCTTGAACTAGTAGAAAGAAACTGGAGTTTTATAACCCTAAGTTTTCTGAAGTTCCATCTTCTTTCTTACTCATCTATTCAGCCCTAATTCAGCCTTCAAGCCACATCAATTTGCTTGCTGCACTCTTCTCATTCAGCGGTGTTGTATGCTCTTAGTTTAATTTGTTGAAATCTGCTACAACAACAAATTTTCTCGAAAGGACTCCTTGATACTTGATACTTGATACAATACATTCAGAATAAAAAATGGGAGAAATAAATGTAAAGCATCATACGGAAGAGATAACTAAACACTAAAATGCATTTTGTAAACACATGATTGAGGTTAGAGGTTCAACACAAATGCTTCTACACTGCATGGCAGCTAATATGATTTTCAAAACAGTATCATAGCTGACATCTTCATTAAAGCTAAAGAGACCATCAAATACCTGTTGAGAAAATGCTGCAGCCTCAATTGCAGCAGTAGGCTGCTTGACTGTGAAGCTCCCGATGCCCCGGATCCAGGCCCAAGAATGCTTTTTGCATACGCTACTCTTAGGATTTGCCCATTCTTCTCAAGCGTTGTTCCATTTGTAGCTTCTAGAGTTTTTGTGGCATCACCAACCTACATGATATCAAACATTTTCAATCATAGCTTATACATTAAAAATAATTCTGCCAACCAAAAGCGCTATACTTTTTTTTCGTTTTTTTACCCTTCTGCTGGCAATTCATTATAACTATAGAAAAACATCCTATAGAGGAAAAAGGTAGAGGCAGAAAAATATAAGTAAGCCATAGCTTTCACACATCCTTTAACAGAGCACACAGGTATAAGCATTGTATAGTACCGGCGGCCCCATGATGCAGGGTCAGTTATGTGTCAAATACTGTTGTTCTGCTTTATTTTAAGACCTTGTTAGAAGTACCGTTAATGAAATAAGATCAGCAGAAGCAACCTACAGCTGCGGATATTTTCTCTCCATTGCCTAAAGATAAGCACGGAGGGTTGATAACATTTACAAAAAGACCACTATTTTAATAGAATAGTCTCACATTCTATTTTTATGATATTGTTGTGAAATAAATGTACAAAAACCCATTATCCAAAAAAATGTACAAAAGCATAAAATGTTAATTATTAGTTGGAAAAAGAAAAGAGCTCTTCGAATACATGAAACAACGTTTGTACCCACCTGTGCAATAAATATGATACTAATTAAAGTCAGCTTTATTCATTGATATTTACAGCTTCTATAGGAAAGCAATGCCATAAAGAAGTAAGATTTACCGAATGGAAATGAACAAAAGCAAACCCCCTTGACACATGAGTGAACTTGTCTCTAACAAGGCGAAGATCCTGCAGATTAATTCCATAAGATTTTGCAGCTGCTGTAAAAGAGAGTTTACCATCGAAAGAGAATTATGATAAAAACATAAACCTTAATTGGAGCATGTTTAGAGAACTCATAACGGAGCATTTCCTCATCAGCATTTTCATCCAACCCACGAACAACCAGTACATGAGTAGGACCTAATTACATGTCAACTTAATATGTTGTTGCAATAACACAAACACTGATACAAGCCTACTAAAAATAACAGCAACTACCGACCTGAATCAGTTCCTTTCTTTCCTAAGGATGCTGAATGTGATAAAGATATGTCAGCTGCTGGAGCATCGTCTGTGCGTGGTTCATTACACTACACAAATGGGTAAGAGAAAGGACACATCGACTCAGCATAATCTTTGGACATAATAAAAGAGAAGCAAATTTACACAAAACAAATGCACCACCAAGTAAAAGAAATAGATTAACAATAATTGGATTTAGCAATCAAACTTGGGTATATAATCATAATAAGTTTTCAACAGCCAATATAAAGTGCATTGCAACTTTTGCCATCTGCAATCCATGAGCATCCATAGCCTAGACTCTAACATCAAATTCTGGTATGCCTTCATCCTAAGCAACATAAAGCTAACAAATTATAGGCACCACTTCTTGACCTAGTGATGTGAAATAGCAGAAATGTAAATGTATGGTGCATCACTCACTCCACTTTAAACAGTAAAATTTATGACAACAATACCAGAAAGTGTGGGATGAAATACTGGCCTGAAAACATGAAGTTCGTCGTGCAAAATTGACACATCCACATATGGTGCACATCCAGTCACAAGGTACTGTGATGCCCCTATGATTCGAATGGCCCAACTTCATGGCATTATCATTACCAAAAGGTCCACCAGTGCTTCCAGTTGGCTTACTACTGCAACGGAACAGATTTCAATGTATTTCACATGCAAACTCATGGTAGGAAAACCAAATATGTTTTATATGATAGAGAGCTTCCTTTCTTTTCCTTCATCATCAGAAATTCAGCATAAAGAACAAAAAATGGAGAGAAAGAACGTTTCATTAATTTTTTTTATAGGAATTGCAGGCCTCGTTAAAAACCCCCTTCTTGATTAATGGAGCTTTGAATGGAAGCTCCTTAATCAGCGGAAGAAAGAAAAGAGTGCCTTAAACATTTTATTAATCATAATAAATTACATAAGATTTAACAATAACTCCATACTGGATAACATAAAGCTTAAGAACTCTACGAACAACATAAACCCACTAACACAAACAGGAAAAACCACTGATGAAACCATACTATCAACCAATCCCCTTCTTTGCTAATCTGTCTGCCTCCCCATTACACGCCCTTGGAATCAACTTAACTGAATGCACCCTATCAGAGATGAGTGTTGAAATCTCTTTAACTAAAGGCAATAAAAAAACAGGAGCCAAAGCCGGGGACTGAATCCATTCCACTGCAGACTTACAATCACTCTCGATAATCAACCTACCAACATAAACCCAACAAGAAGACAAAAATTGTAACACCCCCCAACCCGTATCCGACCCGGATACGAGTCCGAAGTGTCACATTGACTTTTCAAACCTTGACTCTTAAGAAAAATCCCGGGAAATTTAAAACTTTATTTAAATCAAAATAAAGACTTTATCAGAGTGCTCGTACTTAATGACTTATTACATGCCAACACTTTATACATAACCAAATACATACTTTGTCAAATATTTCTGATCTGATCTTTTGGTAAGGAAACTAACCTGTCTTGCTCCGCATCACTCCTTACTCTTCTCGAAACCTACGTGTGAAACAATTACACGCTAAGTCGGAGACTTAGTGAGGCATAACAATTTATAATGCACTTTAAAACATATATTGATACATGCATGTTATGTTCTATCATGTTATAGCAATTCCATGCATTTTTCATATCGTATAAAATCATATCAGATTAATTGCAGTAAATACATACATACACATAATTCATCATTAACAGTTTATCATATAATCACATACTTTTTCAATCAAACACTATACACACACAACATCATATCATTTCTATAACATTTATCATACCACTAACTTATATTTGTTCATATCTCTGGATTAGCCCATGTACATATGTGAGAACTATCGATATGTGAGTCTATAGAGGTTATGCACTATGCTGTCACCACAGCTCGTATAAATGCACCGAAGTGCCCCGTAGAATTGCACCGTAGTGCCATATAATGATGTCCATAAGGACCACATAGAATTCTTTAAGAATCATATACATATGCTAGGGATCAAGTATGTGTCTTTCCAGACTTCACACAGGTTCCAAAGAATATACATATGTCCCTAAGAACCGCGTAGAATTGCACCGTAGTGCCATATAATAATGTCCATAAGGACCACATAGAATTCTTTAAGAATCATATACATATGCTAGGGATCAAGTATGTGTCTTTCCAGACTTCACACAGGTTCCAAAGAATATACATATGTCCCTAAGAACCGCGTAGACCCTCGACTCTTGGCATGCCAACTATACCCCTAGCTCTCATGACACATAACATGGGCGTTATCATTTATTTCATTTCAAATATTCACATAAACTTGTAATTCACTTTCACATATCACTTATCACATAGCTTCTTTTCATATGATCACATAGTCACGTAGTTCACTTACACGTAGATCATTTCCATATAATTCACATGTCACATACTCATCATATCTTGTTCACATATGATCATATACTTTATATAACAGATAGGAACACTTTCATGTAGCTTATAATCATAGGTTTTATCTCATAACATATACTTGTCTTCACATATATATTTCATATCAATTCTTATACCATCCCATAATTCCTTTAACATACATAACATATCATGTAACATTATAATAGAAATACTTATAAGTCATATCACTTAGAGCACATATACTTATAGTCACATTGCTTATATCTTAATCTTATGCCTTCTCTTAGACCTATATATATATATACATAGATATTCACATGTTCAGGTAATCCACCATTTCATCACATAATTGTATATTCATATAACTCATTTCATTTCATTTCATATCTATCTATATATATATATATATCCTCAAGATTATCCTAATATAAATCATATAGCACTCTTATATTTCGTATTCATATTCATCTAGGGCAGACTTATAAACATATCTCACTTCTATTATTTCTCTATATATAATCTACTATGTTTACTTAATTCAATTTCATATAACTCCTATAATCTTCTCATATAGCTTCATAAATTTCTATCATACAACCCATGTGTTATAGTTTTATTTAAACATATGAATCTTTCCCATCTAGCGTATCTTATATGTTCATCTTATCATTTATGTTCAAATCTCCTAGTTAGTGTATTATTCTCACTTCATCCTATAGATCAATATTATCCGGCTTATTTCACTTATCATATAGTAATATAATTATATTTTACTATGATCACATAGTTTATATCTCATATAATTCATAACCTTTCTTATGTAATTACTTATACTTTATCATCTAACACATAAAAGAACAGATCAATCCATATAATCAAACATACATACATGCATATTCCACTAATGCCTTTAAATCATGAATTCATGTGTAACACTTTAGGAAATAGACTCATCGCAAGTCTTATTCCCATCGCACATCGTATACTATTGAATATGCACTCACCTGGCCTCACTAGTCAATTCCAATCTCTTATCTTTCCCTTGATCGATCTTACTTGCCAAACGTTCTGGAATTGCTTTATGCGTAGAATCTACATAAATGTACATTTCGAGACAATCATTAGATACCTACACCTTGTAATTGGATACTAGCAACTTAAACGAACTTATTAAACCCATATTCCCAATTTTCCTTTAGGGGGAATCGGTTTCCCCCTATGGGGGTATCGGTTCCCCCATGACATACTGGAAATTCTTGTTCGTTTGAAGGGGTATCGGTTCCCCTTGAATGGGTACCGATTCCCCTTGCCCAGAAATCATATTTTGAGCTCGAAAATCCTTCATTTTCAGCTCAACACATCATACTTCATTCCCTTTAATATTCCCAACTTTCATACACATACTTAAACTCATATATATTTATTTATTTCATCTTAAACCTCAAAATCCTATATTCCATACGAGATTCAAAAATCATACCAAATTTTCATTGTGTTCTAATTCAAATTCTAACACTTTATACTTCTTAATTAGATTGATGACAAGTCAAATTCATCCTTAGAATTTCAAAAACCTTTCTATATCAAAACTTCATTTCTAATCTCTTAATAGAAATTCCTTTCTAATTCTCCCTTCTTGATGTTTTAAGTTTATACAAGCTTTCCTTAAGCTTATATAACCCCCAAAGATTCAAAACCAACTTATAAATTCCAGAAATTAACAGTTAAAAATCAAACTTACCTTTAAGCTGGAGCTACGAGAAGAAGAAGAAGAGAGTCAGAAGAAGGCTTCCAGAACTCTCCCAAAACCATGTATATCACCTGTATTTAAAGGAAATACAAAATATCCTTTAATCTGAAAAGACTAAATTACCCCTTTAATTATCCATCTATGCTATTCAATCCATCATCAAAATTCTTTACTTAAATCCCAACACTTTTAACTTATTTCAAAATTGAGCACACAGTTTCCAAAATTTACATTTTAGTCACTGATCCGACTTTTGGGGATGTTACAAAAATACTTCAATGCCTCTCTTTATAGCCTTTAACTCAACAACTGGGGGGGGACCTTGACCAACATTTTCTGAAAAATTCAAGAGAGTGCAGCCATTCCAATCTTTTAAAATACCTCCTATACCTCCATCCGAGCCATCTAGTGTTACAGCTCCATCAACATTCATCTTCAAAAAGTCTACAGGGGGTGGGATCCAGCGAGTCAGCTGACAATCCTTTGATTTATGAACTTGAATACCATCTGCAAGAGATGGGTCACCAATCAACACATCCTCCTGAATAGGAAACTTAGGTTACTTGGCTAGAAACCATTTAGATAACCTGAATCTAATAATGAAAAACAAAGACTGCCTGTCAAGAGTAGATCCTTCGAACACCATTGCATTCCTAGCTTTCCAAATAGACCAAAATACGACTCCCGGAATAAATTTCCAAATCAACGATTTCACCCTAACTCACCCCAGAAGCTAAGCAATGAAAGAGGGTCCTTTGGAAAGACTAGGGCTAGATCCCAAAAGCTTGCTATTTTGTTCCACAATTCCCATACTACATAACACGAAATAAATAAGTGTTGCATTGATTCCTCGTGTTTCTTACAAAAAGGACAAAGGATATCATCACCTAGTTGCATTCCTCTGTTCACCCAATTCTGCTTTTACTGCCACTTTCTGATGAGCTAGCTGCCATAGGAAAGCTTCAACACGAGGTGGTGACAATCCCAACAACACCCCTTTTAACCACAAATCAGAGCCCCCAGACACCCTCCCGAATGCATTTCTGCAAGATTTTACCGAAAACAGTCCATCACCACTTGCAGACCAAGATAGAAAGTCTTCTACTGAATCTGACAGTTTAAAATCCTTCAGTTTTGTCATCAAATCCATCCACTGATCTAATTCTCAATCACACAGATTCCTTCTGGTTTGAATATTCCACACCCAACCGTTCAATTCAAAGCTGCCAAATTCAGCAACCTTGCCCCATTTGTTTGGTGATAGCACGTATATTCTAGGAAAAAGATATTTTAAAGGAAGCTCATCTACCCATGCATCTGTACAAAATGAAATAGACGTTTCATTAAATTTAAGACCATATCAATTCATCATGGTACAGAAGCTTTAGATAATATGTGTGTATATATCACGCAATAAGCAAATGGATTTAGTGATCCTAATTTAAGAAGGTTTATACAAACATCTAAGGTTTTCTAAGGGGGAAAATATTAGCAATTTCATATTTCCATTGCATGAGGCCTCCTAACATATAAATCCAAAGCTCAAACTTCGGAGCTCAAACTTCAGAGCTCACTTATATATTCAACTCAGCTCTCTATTTCAGTTTCCATTTTAAGAATTACAATTGATAAGAAGCATTCTTGCAACTAAATAAAAGAAACTTCTAGTCAGATCTAAGAGGATCTTGTGTTCTCTGTTTGCTGCTTTGCAGATATCTTGAATTATCCGTCAATAGTCAATATTTTGAAGCAACCGTGTTGCCCTCAAATTAACCTGTTTTCTACTATCAAACCAAGAAAGGAACACCAAAAAAGAAGGTAAAATATTTTCCATTAAAGCTAGCATCACTAATCAACATAAGATTAATGAAGTTGGTCTTACATGAATAACTTCAATCATGATTGTAGAATGAAAATTTACCTGTACTCGAAGAAAAACTTCCGACCATCAACAAGACCATCATCACCAATCCTCTCCATCATAGTGCTTGCTGCCCCCTGTGCCAGAAACAATTTCCCTCATAAAACATTCAACAATACTGAATGGAAAGCATTGACCAGTTAGAGGCATGAGTACCACAGAAGGAAAATCAATAAAAGCAAATCCAAGAAAAATTCCAGAATGTCGCTCTTTAATGACTCGGACATGGCATAGTGGTCCCCATTCAGCCTAATGGACACGTAAAAATTAAGAAATATTATATCTTGTGATAATAAGAACATTCAACACAAACAAAGAGCAAAATATTACAAGAATCTGGTATAGATCTTCTTCGGTTGTTTTTTGTGAGAGACCCTTCACAACAATTGTTGTAGATGGTGCCTAAGAGAGCAGAAGTTTTACTCAAATTCCCAACTTAAAACAAATGCAGCATCAGAAGCACAAAGAACAAGGAAAATGAAGCATACCACGGAATAATGTTCACGTTGATATTTCTCTTCACGGTCCCTTCGCCTCTAAGTCTTATCATTCCGATCATCATCATAGCTATCCTCACGATGGCTTCGTCCATGGTTTCGACCTCGAGGTGACCTTGATCTAGGACAATCATCACGTCCATGTGACCGTGATCGAGATCTCTCATGTGTTTTATGTGGACTCTGATCTCTCTCTCTACTCAAGCGATCTCGATCAGGCGATTCACGCTTCCTCCAATTGCCCTCTCTCTGACTGCCTCTTTCATAATCAGAATCATAACTATGTCGGCCATATTCATAATCCCTCTCACTGTTGTTGTGTCCCTGCTCTGATGGGAAATGCGTGGCCTATAGTCATAATCATCATATGAGCTATCTCTTTCTCGTCCCCCAAACTTAGAGGACCTGTCAAATTCATGATTGCGAAAGTTGTCAACACCATGATATCCATCCCGAAACTTATCAAAATCTTGAAATTGAGTGATCTCGTGATCACGAAATGTATCCATGTCACTATAAGAATCAGCATAAGGCTTCTGGTGACGCCTAGAATCCCGATTGTGGGGATATTCTTCCTCATAAGTTGTCCTCCTTGATTGAGACCAGATACCAGAAGCTGCAGGCGGAGCGGATTGGTTCTCCCTCTCCAGAAAATCTATGTGGTAGGAACCTCTGAAATACACATTATCCCTCGAGTATCTTTCAACTAGATACCTCCTCTCATCATATGAAACACTGACCCCGTAGCAGTAAGAAAGAGAGAGGAAGAGGAAAGATAAAATGTGATATAATGAAACCAATTCTTGGTGTAAATTAGTAATTCAATAGCAAGATGAAATCAGAAAACTGGTAGCAACAGCATTAAAGCAAAAGGAAAACACAAAATAGAGTAATTTCAACAAATAACTTGTTAACCATGTACCTGTGTAGGGAAGCACAAAAAAGAAAGAAATTCAATGTAAAATTTTACTGTGGAGACGATGAAAGAAAGTGGGCACTGGGCAAGCACTCACCGGTAACTCTGGTCAAGAACAGCAGGAAAACCCTCAAGAGCCTGTGGATTGAAGAGAGAAGCTATGTCAATGAGAGAAAGTAATATGAATTATGCAAATGGAGAGTCCATATCCCGAGTGCTGCAGGGCTTTGTTTCATGTGTATACAAGGGAATGAGAGAATGATCCCAAACCCATACAGTTTGTCAATACACATTTTCGTTCTATTAAGATTTAAACTTTTAAAGATAAGATAAAATTTTATTAAGATTCAAACTCTTAAAATTAAGATAAAATTCTACAATTATTTAAACTCTTAAAGATAAGATCCACAAGCATTATAAATAGTCATTGTAACTCACTATTATAACAGATTCGGAGGAGGATATACAAAATACCAAACAAAAAATTATAAGCAACTCATAACCATTTTTCGAAGCATTTATATTTTGAAATGTAAAGTTCATACCTTCGCATGTTATTTTTCCTTACCCTTGCTGTGTTTTGATTTCGAAAGAAAACTGAGAGAAATGTTTTTGGCCGATGAACGGGGGCGTTTTTAATATCTATTTTTATAGATCTAATCCCCGAAGCTTGTGTTTTTGAAAAACTATTCGGATTTTTATAAACGGGTCGTGTGGATCCGCGTGTTTTGTCCTTTTTTTCTTCGATTGGCTTTTAATTTTGACCCCTAATTCATTTTTTATTTTAATTTAACCCTTATTATTTATATGTATATATGTATATATTTAATTATATTTTATTTATTTTATTTATTATAATTTTTTTTCATTTTTCTTTACGTTATATTATATTATTTTTCTATTATATATATATATATATATATATATATATATATATTATATTATTATTTTTTTATCTATGTTTACTTATTTACTATGTTTTTTACTATATTTTCCTAACGTTATATATATATATTCTTACTTTATTTTATTTTATATTTCTATCATTATTATTTTTTTAGTTAATATTATATGTATATTTATTTTTCATTTATTTATTATTATTATTACTATTTAGTATTTTATTATATTATAGATACATTTTTATATTTATATATATATATATATTATTTTATTTATACTATTTATTTATTTTCATTATATTTTTAGTTTTTTTGCTCTTATTATTATTTTTCTTTTTAAAAAAAACACTTTACCTTTTTTATTCTTTTTGTATATATATTTTTATCTTCATTTATTTTATTTTATTTCATTTTTTTTCATCTAATTATTTTATGTTTATTATTATTGGTTTCATTTATTTCCTTGGTTTACTCTTTAGTTTTGTTACTTTCTTTTATTATTATTATTATTTTCTTTTAAAATCTTATTTTTAAGGGTATTTTCGTAAACTCATTAAGGGTAAGTAATTCGGATCAAATTTTACCTTTTAATTTAACTTGCAATTTTCTTAATCAAAGACAACTGGAAATTACGTAGTACCGAAAGGACGGTTCAAGGGTGCTAATCCTTCCTTGACCGTAACCGACTCCCGAACCCGACACATCTTTGGAAAGACGCAGATCAGGTAAGAAATAGAGTATCCGATCAACCCATTTGTTTTAAATAAATGATCGGTGGCGACTCCAATTCACATTTTTCAAGTCGAAGCCCAATTCCGGGGCCCAACCGAAAGACGGTTGCAACAGCTTGGCGACTCCACTGGGGAGACAGGTAAGTGAGTCAGGCTAAGGTAATTTCCAGTTGTGTTTTTAATGAAAAGTGTAAGTTTAAATTTTAAGGTAACATTTTGATCCTTATTACTTACTTTTGATTATATTTTCGAGTAAATAGTTGTACTGACCGTTTTTAATGATTTCAGCCCTTAAAGATTTTTTATCTGATGCTCTAAACCTGAGCTCCAAACCCTGCTTTAAGTGGGGGTGAAAACGACGCATTCGTATGAATTTATTCACCGTGTGGGCCTAACAAGTAGCTTTCGGGATTCATATACCTTATATCTTCGTGTGAATTTATTCACCGTGCGGGCATAAGGGAATGTGTCCCCTCGAGTTTAACTTAGTCCACACAAGCTTGTGATGGGTTTAGGACTAAGGGTATGGCAAGCCCAAGGGGGCACCGGCAAGGAGAACTCGGGTACTGTTTTTAGAACCTAAACTGGGAGACCATGGAGAATTAGAGCCTATCACAAAACCACATTTCCGAAACTTAGGATATTTTTACCTTAACCATGTCTTTTTTTTCCTTTCGTCATTTATTTATTTATTTATTTATTTTACTAACATTTTATGCCTTTGTGTTTGTTTTTTTAGCATTTGCATCATAACAAGAGGCTATTGATCCTTAAAAAACGTTTGTTACACACAAAATAATCTAAATTAATGGACAAAGGTGTTGTAAAACAAGAGATTAAGAATGCCGAGGCACGACTATGGTCCGAGATGACTCAGAAAGAGAAAGGAGACAGTCTTCATGGGAACTACGTGTCAGAGTTGGTTAGCTATGCCTCTGTCAGCCTGAAACAGAATGATGTCCAAGAGTTGCGAAACATTTGGGACAGTTGGAAGAATGACAGAAAGCAGAAGTTCAGCCAACGATATGGTGATATTGCCCTCTTACTTCATGTCAAGACTGATGAGCCCCTGCTCCGAGCACTGATTCAATTCTGGAACCCGGGATATAGTTGCTTCACCTTTAATCGGGAGGACATGGTGCCCACTATCGAAGAGTATACCACACTACTGCACTGTGAAAGCATCAGACTAGAGAAGGCATATATCAAACATATCAAGGGTCAGCCTTTTAAGAACAGACTGGCCAAGATTGCAGGAGTTGATGAAAAATGGGTGACTGATCGACTCCGACACAAAGGTAGCGGGGAAGGAATCGAGTGGATCCATATAAAGCAACTAATGAAGAACCACCCTGATGAATGGAAGACTATAGATCTTTTTCCACTGGGTCTGTACGGTTTGATTATCTTTCCGAAGACCTTGGGGTGCATCGACGCAGCCGTAGTATAACTATTTGAACAACTTCCAAGGCGAGTCAACCCAGCGCCGACCATCTTAGCCGAGACCTTTCGGTCTCTTAATCATTACAGAAGAACTGGTGGAGGAAGGTTCATTAGATGTGTTCAGCTCCTTCAAGTCTGGATTCACAGCCATTTCTGGAAGACTAACGGGGTTGCCTACCACCGATTCAACGCTACCTATTCACCATTGGGAGAGTTCATCACTATGAAATGGCATAAAGGCGCTTCGAATGAAGAATGGATGAAGGTCTTCACTCATCTTCAGGACCAGGATATTACTTGGAGAGCCCCCTGGTTGTTCTTCAGTGACGTTCTTTTCTGATTTGGGGATTCTAACACTATGACCTTACTTGGACTTTGGGGTGCAGTTGGGTATGCTCTGTTGTTGGCACTCAGACAGTATGGGGCACGTCAGTTTATCCCAGCAACATATGGATTATCTACATCAAAGTTTGTGTATCACGGTGACAGTTATAAGAAGAGGATCAAAGAGGTAGCCGAGTCATGGAAGAAAGTATCCCGGATGGATGTCGTGGCTGTCAGAGATATGCTTACTCTGGATTATATGGAGTGGCGAAGATTGAGAAAGAATGATAGCATCCCGATGCCAGACTGTGAATACACCCGGACCATGGAGGAACATCTCAGGCCTGTCCCTTCTGAACTTGAGATAGTCAAGACAGAGTTTGAAGCTGTGAATAATGAGCTGAAACAGAGAGTTAAGGAACTTGAAGCTGAACTTTATCAATGGAAACTAGATTCCAATTTTTAGAAAGATAGAGCAGACAAACTGGAAAGGGAGCAGAAAAGAGTCTATTTTGAGCTTGAAGACTTGAGAAAGGGGTACCAAGATAAAGTCAAGGATAACTCCTAAGAATCCAACGCCTGAGAATCCAAATGGCTGATCTGGAGAAACAACATGAGAAAGATTGTAAAACAATAGCTTCAAAAAGCAAGCGAGTGAGCTTCAGATAGTGCCCTTCGACGGGGGTTTGCAGTGGCGTTTCCGTTGAGAGAAAACACAACAAAAGGTGAAGGCCAGAGACGCAGTCATCCGAGATTTCCTGGATCAAGTACAGAAGGCAGCTTGCCATCTACACGGCCTGGCAAGGGAAGTTGGAGTGGTCCAACAAGGCATACAACCAGTGACAGATGAAAACAGAAGACTTGTCAATCTACTGGAAGTTGTTCGGGGTCTAGAGGATTTAGTCCGAATGTACCTTTGATTGTTTTTATGTCTCTTACAAGATAAAATATTTTTGTCGAAATACGGATTATTTATAATAATGGGCACTTTTATGGATCAATGCCTCAAATATTTCATGCATTTTTTTCATTTTGTGTTATGCATCTACATTTCATTTTTAAGCATTTTCATAAACATGAAATTTCTTCATAGAGGATTCGATGAATTGGTTTTAACCACATGACACCACATGGAAGCAAGATTGTAACATCAAAAGAAAAAAACTGAAAACAATACAATGGGAGCCTGATCAGCTGATTGTAGGACAAAGCCTGCCAGGATGATCTAAGAAAAGAATCCCCATATCCTAAGGGATACGATGTTGTAGTTGTTAGCTGTTACCACATAAGAAGCCCCAAACATTCCTCTGAAAATTGTAAGGCGCTTGCCGAAGAAGGGGGTATGACATATACCATTTGCACTTAGAGGATTGTTTTGTTTGAACACGTCTTTGATCTTTCATGTTTGCTTAATCTTTTAAATGATTGAATTTATGTTGCTTTCTAAGGTGGAGCAATTGAACAAATTTTAATCTTTAGTTCTTCGAATATTAAATGAATTAATGATTCTTTTAATTCTTCAAGAATTATAGATTTTTGACTTATGGAAAGATTAGACCTTTCTTACCTTGTCTCAAACCCCAGAATAAAATACCTTGATTCTTTGCCCAAAACAACTCGTGGTCATTACCAAAAGACGAAATTTTGACATTACCTCCTTTTGAAATTCTTGAACATTGCCTTTATCTTTTTGATACACTCATATCTTTCTTTGAGTTAATAAGATCACACCATTGTCTTTTTCAGACTCAAAAATAGTCTTTCTTACCATTAAAACCTAAGACATTGAGTTGTTCAT